ATGTAAATGTTCGTTTGTTCAAAATCGCTAATCTCCGAAAGTTCATCACTGATTGCTTTGAAATTTTGAGACAATTTTCCATTCACATACGAGTGTGTTTTTATATTCTTACTGTATAGATGTCCCGTCTGTGACAGATAAAAACATTTTTTTTTTACACTGTGTTTTTCATGTGAGTTTTCATGTGAGGGAAATCTCTGAAACCTCTTTATCGCTTGGTTTGACATTTTGACACAACGTTGCACTCAAATACATGTATGATTTTATATACCTACTATATAGATGCCGCACCTGTGACAGATAAAAACATGCTTTTTGGAAAAAAAACAGTGCCATCTGCTGCACGTGAAAGGTACCCACGCTATACTAAATATTTTAAGATTTCGTTTCAACGTTTCCAGTTGCATTAATATATTGAATTTTCACAGATTTCGATTTATTTTCATTTTGATTACATTATTCTTCGTGACATTATGTTACAATTGAGCTGTGTTGTTTACCATACCGTTCATTTCGTGACTATAGTTTATTTTTTATTTTTTTATTATTTTTTTATTTTGTTTTTCTTATTTTTGTTCTTATTTGTAAGTGATGGAACATCAGATCAATTGATGGTCCCATTTTTCTGATGTGAACATCAAGTTATTTGGGAACGCATCAGATGAGGAAGTGTGGAATGGTGTGGAGCAGGAGGGGAAAGGAGTGGGGGATGGTGGGGAGGATAAGGGGACAGGGAAAGGGGTGATAGTGGGGAGGACGAGAGGATGGGGGAGTTTGGGATGGCAGGGACGAGGGAACAGGGGTATGGAGAATGGTGGGGAGGACAATGGGAGAGAGAAGTGGGGGATGGTGGGGAGGACGAGGGGGAGGGCAGAATAATAGGGAGGACGAGGGGATGGGGGAGTGGAAGATGGTGGGTAGAACGAGGGGATGGTGGAATGGTGGAGTGGGGAATGGTTAGGAGGACGAGGGGACAGTGCGGTTGGGGATGGTAGGAAGGACAAAATGACAGGGGAGGGGGGGGGAATGGTGGGGAGGACGAGGGGACAGGGAAGTGGGGAATGGATGGGAGGATAAGGGACCAGGGGAGTGAGGAGTGGTTGGGAGGACAACGGGACAGGGGAGGGGGAACTGGTGGGGAGTACTGGGAGACAGGGGGAAGGTTACTGTGGCTCAGAAATGCATATGTGTTGCTGAGTTATAGCAACGTGTGGCTGGGTACAGCTAGTCTATACAGTACATATAAAAATGTGAATGTTCGTTTGTTCAAAATCGCTAATCTCCGAAAGTTCATCACTGATTGCTTTGAAATTTTGAGACAATCTTTCATTCACATACGAGTGTGTTTTTATATATTTACTATATAGATTTTCTGTCTGTAACAGGTAAAAACATTTTTTTTTACACTGTCTTTTCAAGTGAGTTTTCATGTGAGGGAAATCTCTGAAACCTCTTTACCGATTGGTTTGACATTTTGACACAAATTTGCACTCGAATACGCGCCTGTTTTTATATACCTACTATATAGAGGCCACACCTGTGACAGATAAAAACATGCTTTTTGGAAAAAAACAGTGCCATCTGCTGCACGTGAAAGGTACCTATGCTATAAGAAATATTTTAAGATTTCATTTCAATGTTTCAAGTTGCATTGATATATTGAGTTTTCACAGATTTCGATTTATTTTCATTTTGATTACATTATTTTTTGTGACATTGTGTTGCAATTGAGCTGTGTTGTTTACCATACCGTTCGTATCATGAGTATAGTTTTTTTTTTTTAATTTTTTTTATTATTTCTTTTCTTCTTATTTTCAAGTGATGGAACATTAGATCATTTGATGGTCCCATTTTTCTGATGTGAACATCAAATTATTTGGAATGCATCAGATGAGGAAGTGGGGATAGTGTGAAGCATGAGGGGACGGGAGTGGGGGATGGTGGGGACTAGGGGACGGGTGTAGTGGAGATTTGTGGAGAGGACAAGTGGACATGGGAGTAAAATATAATATTAGGACGAGGGGACTTGGAAGGGAGGAATGGTTGGGAGGACGATGGGATGGGGGGGGGGTGAGGAATAGAGGAAAGACGAAGGGAGAGGGACGTGGGGACTAGTGGAGAGAACGAGGTGATGGGGGAGGGGGGAAATGATGGGGAGGATGAGGGGACAGGGAAGTGGGGAATGTTTGGAAGGACGAGGGAAGAGGGGAAAGTTGGGGACGACAGAGAGACAGTGGAGGGATGCTGTTGCTCAGCAAAGCATATGTTGCTGAGCCACAGCAATGGGTGGTCGGGCACAGCTAGTCTATTTAAATATAAATATAAATGTTTTGTTGTTCAAAATTGCTAATCTTCGAAACTTCTTCACCGATTCCTTTGAAATTTTGACACAGCGTTGCATTCGAATACGCGCGTGTTTTTATACACCTACTATATACATGCCACACCTGTAAGGCATGCATTTAAAAAATACAGCGCCGTCTATTGCCCTTAAAAACTACATACACTATACTAAATATGTTGGTTTCAATTTAATGTTTTCTGATATCATTGATAAATTGAATTTTCATAGATTTCAATTTGTTTTCATTTTGATTTAATTATTTTGTGTGACATTGCGTTGGAATTGAGCTGTGTTGTTTACCATACCGTTCATTTCGAGAGTATAGTTTATTTTATGTATTTTGTCATTTTTTCATTTCGTTTTTTTATCTGTTCTTCTAATTTTTCAGTAATGGGAACATCAGATCATTTGATGTTCTCATTTTTCTGATGGGAACATCAGCTCATTTGGGAATGCATTGGAGGAGGGAGTGGGGAATGGTGGGGAGGACAAGGGGATGAGAGTGGGAGATGGTGGGGAGGATGAGGGGGACATGTGGTGGGGGTAGTGGTGGGGAGGATGAGGGGAGAGGAGAGTGGGAGGATGGTGTGGAATAGGGGATGGGGGAGTGGAGAATGGTGGTTAGGTCAATGAGACAGGGGAGTGGGGGATGGTGGGGAGGACGAGTGGACGGGGGAGATGGGAATAGTGGGGAGGACGGGGGTGACAGGGGAGGGTTGCTGTGGCTCAGCAACGTGCATGTTTTGCTGAGCCACAGCAACGAGTGGCCGGGTACAGCTAGTGTAAATAAATAAAAAGGTTAATGTTCATTTGCTCAAAATCGCTACTCTCCAAAAGTTCTTCACCGATTGCTTTCAAATTTTGACACAATGTTCCATTCCCATACGAGCGTGTTTTTATATCAATATTGAATAGATATCACGTCTGTTACAGTTAAAAATATTTTTTAATTTTGTAAACTGTTTTCTTCACGTGAGTTTTCATATGAGAGAAATCTCCAAAACCTCTTTACCTATTGCTTTGAAATTTTTACACAACGTTGCTTTCGAATACACGCATGTTTTTATAAACCTACTATATAAATGCTGCACCTGTGACAGGTAAAATAATTGTTTTTTAAACATTGCAATCTTTTGGATGTAAGAGCAACACATGCTGTAATCTCTGAAAATTATTCTCCGACTGCTTTGAAATTTTGACACAATGTTCCATCCAATATGCACGTATTTTTATATATCTACTATATAGACGCCACACCTGTGACAGGTAAAAACATTTTTTTGGGCGAAAAACAACGCCATCTGTTGCTTGTAAGAGCAAAATACTATACTAAATATATTACGATTCCATTTCAATGTTTCCAATTGCATTGATAAATTGAATTTTCATAGATTTCGATTTATTTTCATTTGTATTTAATTATTTTGTGTAACATGCATTGGAATTTAGCGGTGTTGTTTACCATTCCGTTCATTTCGTGGGTATAGGTAATTATTTTAATTTTTTAATATTTTATTTCGTTTTTTAACTATTCTTATTTTTCAGTGATGGGAACATCAGATCATTTGGGACCACATCGGACGAGGGAGTGGGGAATGTACTGGAGGACGTGGGGACAGGGGAGGGTGTAATGGTAGAGAGGGGGAGGGGGTAATGGTAAGGAGGGCGAGGGGACGGGAGAGTGGGGGATGGTGGGGACGAGCGTACAGGGGGGTGGAGAATGGTGGGGAGGACAAGGAAACATGAGAGTGGGGAATGGTTGGGAGGACGAGGGGATTGCTGGGGAGGACGAGGGGGATGAAGGAATTGGGGATAGTGGGGAGAATGTGAGGACGGGGGAGTGGGGAATGGTTGGGAGGACAAGGAGACGGGGGAGTGGGGAGGACAGGGGGACAGAGGTGGGTTGCTTTTGCCGGGTACAGCTAGTAAATAAATATTAATGTATATGATTTATGTAGTATTGTTTATGCTCTACAATTTTTATTTATTGTCGTTTTTTTCGAAAAATTCATCGTTTTCATTTTATTGAAGAAAAAAATAAGGATTTGAGCTGAAAAGCAGCAAAACTCTTTTCAAAATTAAAAAAAAAATGGTAAAGAGTATTATAGTATTATTAAAATGCGTTCTCTTACACCCTTTTCAACAAAAAATCAATCTTCCAGGTCAATTAGTTCACCTGGAGTGGCTGTTTTTATGAACCTTCACAAAAATCCAATATGTCCGACTTTTTCAAAATGGCAGAAAACCAGTAACTAATTTTATGCGACTTTTTTGTGGACGATCCTGAAATCATGCTAAACAAATTCCAACTGAACATAAGAACATAAGAACATAAGTATAAAGGTAACTGCAGAAGGCCTGTTGGCCCAAACGAGCCAAATAGGTAGCTCCTATTTATAACCACCCAGAATTTTTATTATAACTACTAACTAGCAAAATAACTGCTACAAGCTTATTATTTTGAATGTCGATCGTAAATGCTCCTTTGTCGGTACTATATAGATATGCGTATTTCTCATGCATCCAAATAAGAGAGGAATAAACATTTATAGAGTGCCGTGCACAACTGTAATTTGTGGCATAATTAATGAATTGTGTTATTTGTACCGAAATTATAGTTTTTGTATTATTACATAAATAAAATCTTCTTTCACAGTTTAACTTAATATGCGAGAGGACGGCGCTGAGGCCGCTGTACCAGATGCTCTACTCAGTCGGCGCTATGATCGGCGGGCCAATTGGTGGGATCTTCAGTGACAGGTGCGGCTGATGTGTGGCAGACTGAGGCTGTTTAATAGTAAACAGGCACAGTTTAAAGATAGTTTAAGGCTATATGTTCCAGGTTATGGAGGTCGGACCTACTCAGCGATACATGTAATCGTTTGTTTAAAGGTTCCTTTAGATTTACACACCCTAAATTGTTGAGATAAGAGAGTTTGGCAGAGGGCCGATTTTCACAAAATTTTCTTCGTCATCCAGTATGTCAAAATAGCCTCGCTTCTGTTCCGAGCACCATCCAGACTATAGAAAACTAAGATAAACTCTAAATCATAAGTAAAGAAGTTGAAAGTAGAAAACATTTTTATGTAATGCGAACTTAATGTGCTTGATGTTCTGCCGAGTTCTGGATGTTGGCAGAGTGTAATGTGGTGGACGTTGGCTATTGATACGTGGCTAGGTTTGCTTTATATATAATACCTCGTTGATGTCCAGTCTTCAATTGTTACAGTAATTATCGATTATTTTGGTGTTGTTTGTGAGATTGTGTCTGGTGATGGTCTGGTTATGTATAGAGACTATATGTTCCTTAATAGGTCCTTGCTGCTTGTGCATTGTAATGCATGATGAAAGGAATGTTGTTTAGCTTATATATTGAATTCGTTGGGACTGACAGTCTCCCAAGTGGGCATATGAGGGCATAGACAGCATTCGTCTCTTTCAAGGGGTTTTTGTTTGGTTTCAGGAGAGTTCATGAACATGTTGGCAGTCTTCTTGCTCTTATAGTATATCATTAATTCAATCATCTGGTTGGTGTCATTAGGGGACTCATTTCTATAAATATTGTTTCTCATTTATAGATAATTTATAACTTTCAGTCGCTTTCAACGAAATATGTTTAAAAGAAAGACTATTACCGAAAAATTATATATATATATATATATATATATATATATATATATATATATATATATATATATATATATATATATATATATATATATATATATTTATTTATGATCGATGCTCCCTTCGGGAATCTTAATTTTAAGATGAATAGGAAAACCAGGGATATACTGAACATCTTGTTTCAGATTCTTTACTTTAAAATGCATAACGTTTCGAATACTTCTCGTATTCATCATCAGATCTAAAAGAAAAAACAGAAATCACAATCAAATAGCTGGTAAACAAAGAACTCATACTGAATATAATTGCCTATCAAAGAAAGGAAAATGCTTAAAAACAAAACACTTAAGCGCACTTAAAGTGATCAATACAAATAAAACTTATTAGCTGTCACATATATTAAAGCTAATTTAAAAGTCCATTAAACTACAAGATGAATTTTATAACTACTAAAACAAACCATTATATTAAACTTACGTGAAGTGATAAGAAGTGAAACTTGATACCTAACACATAGATACTAAACACTATAACAAATATTTATATAATGAATACAAATCTACAAAAAATGTATGTAAAATACAAACAGAATAAACGACAATTATAAAGTACTAACCAAAATCTTATAAAAAACTCAAATATTAAATAAAATTAAATACCAAAAAATATATTATATATCCTAAATAAAAGATTATATTAATGTACAATGTCAAGACTTGAAATAAGTAAGAAAGGGCAAAGACATGGTAAACTAAACAAAATTATAATAATAAATTCAACTACCAAAATGAACTATAAATCAAATTACAGGGCCTACTGTGCACTATACAGTGTACAATTGAACAGCTGAAAGGTTGCTATTTAACAGAGGCCGCAGCTCCTTTATATATAAGGATTCCATTACTCTCAAATCTGACTGACCATTCATACAAGTGTCCAGAATTTTAAAATCAGATTCCAGCAGAGAATGATCAAACTCATAACAATGGTTTCTAATCTCCGAAAATGCTGGTTTAGACAATGGTAATCCAGTCCTAAAAGATAATCCCCGGTGCTCAAGTATCCTAATCTTAAAGTTCCGAATGGAACTCCCGATATATCCAGCATTACAGCTGGAACAATTATACATATATACGACATTTGAGCACAAGGGGGTAGGCACTTTATCTTTAAATTTAAAATAAGAGCCTATGGTATTTGTGTTAACAAAAATAAATCTAAAGTCTACTTGAGGATAACACTGCTGCAACAGTCTCCTCAAACGACTCCTTACAGAAAAGCTAATAGTGCCATAAAATGGTAATTTAATATATTTAAGATCCCTTTCCACTGTAGTAATCCTACACGATGGGTGAAACTTCTTATTTAAGAAATTCCTTATAAAAGTATAAACCATATGCAAAGGATAACCATTATTTGAAAAAAAATTCACAAGAAAATTAATTTCTTGATCAAAGTTATTCCAATTAGAACATAAAACAAAGGCCCTATTCAGTAGAGTGTTAATTGCATTTTTCTTAAAAATATCAGGAACAAAAGAATTAAAATTTAAACCTAAACCAGTAAAGGTTGGTTTCCTAAAAACATTAGTGTTGAACCCATTAAGGTTATCCACATTTACATCAAGAAACGACAATGAATTATCAACTTCACACTCTGCAGTAAACCGTATATTACTATGTTGTGCATTAAGATTCTCTCTAAATTTCTCAATATGACATTGGTCCTTAAATAACAAAAAAGTGTCATCTACATATCTCCTGTACAAGACTGGTTTAAAGGCCGAAGGACAATTATCAAGCCAATTTATTTCATGAAAACTCAAAAAAGCATTAGCCAGTGCAGGACCTAAAGGAGACCCCATTGCTACTCCATCAATTTGTTTATAATATTTATTATTAAACATAAAGATGGTGTCTTTAACTGCTATTTCTAACAGCCGTCTGAATATTTTACTACAAAATCCAGACACTAAGTTAGTGTCAGCAAATAATTGATTCACACAGATATCAATGGTTTCCAACAAAGGAATATTAGTAAAAAGTGATTCAACATCGAAACTGGCCATTATAGTTGGGAACTCAAAATTTAAAGAGGAAAGTTCTTTTACAAAATCCTGAGAATTTCTCACAGTAAATTCATTATGCGTTAATGGTTCTAATAATGGAACCAGAAACTTTGCCAGTTTATAATTAAAAGTGCCAATCGCTGATAAAATAGGACGAATCGGTATACCTGTTTTATAAACTTTAGGTAACCCATATAAGATGCCTGGCTTAGAGCCAGTTGCAAGTAATTTAGTATAATCAAAAAGAGAGTCTTTCAGACTTCTTAAAACTCTATTCAGTTTATCCTCACATTTCAAAATATACGAGAAAGGGTCTATATCAACCAACGTAAATATTTACGTTGGTTTACTTTAGGTAAACTTTAGGTATGAACTTGACCAACGTAAATATTTACGTTGGTTGATATAGACCCTTTCTCGTATATTTTGAAATGTGATGATAAACTGAATAGAGTTTTAAGAAGTCTGAAAGACTCTCTTTTTGATTATACTAAATTACTTGCAACTGGCTCTAAGCCAGGCATCTTATATGGGTTACCTAATGTTCATAAAACAGGTATACCGATTCGTCCTATTTTATCAGCGATTGGCACTTTTAATTATAAACTGACAAAGTTTCTGGTTCCATTATTAGAACCATTAACGCATAATGAATTTACTGTGAGAAATTCTCAGGATTTTGTAAAAGAACTTTCCTCTTTAAATTTTGAGTTCCCAACTATAATGGCCAGTTTCGATGTTGAATCACTTTTTAATAATATTCCTTTGTTGGAAACCATTGATATCTGTGTGAATCAATTATTTGCTGACACTAACTTAGTGTCTGGATTTTGTAGTAAAATATTCAGACGGCTATTAGAAATAGCAGTTAAAGACTCCATCTTTATGTTTAATAATAAATATTATAAACAAATTGATGGAGTAGCAATGGGGTCTCCTTTAGGTCCTGCACTGGCTAATGTTTTTTTGAGTTTTCATGAAATAAATTGGCTTGATAATTGTCCTTCGGCCTTTAAACCAGTCTTGTACAGGAGATATGTAGATGACACTTTTTTGTTGTTTAGGGACCAATGTCATATTGAGAAATTTAGAGAGTATGTTAATGCACAACATAGTAATATACGTTTTACTGCAGAGTGTGAAGTTGATAATTCATTGTCGTTTCTTGATGTAAATGTGGATAACCTTAATGGGTTCAACACTAATGTTTTTAGGAAACCAACCTTTACTGGTTTAGGTTTAAATTTTAATTCTTTTGTTCCTGATATTTTTAAGAAAAATGCAATTAACACTCTACTGAATAGGGCCTTTGTTTTATGTTCTAATTGGAATAACTTTGATCAAGAAATTAATTTTCTTGTGAATTTTTTTTCAAATAATGGTTATCCTTTGCATATGGTTTATACTTTTATAAGGAATTTCTTAAATAAGAAGTTTCACCCATCGTGTAGGATTACTACAGTGGAAAGGGATCTTAAATATATTAAATTACCATTTTATGGCACTATTAGCTTTTCTGTAAGGAGTCGTTTGAGAAGACTGTTGCAGCATTGTTATCCTCAAGTAGACTTTAGATTTATTTTTGTTAACACAAATACCATAGGCTCTTATTTTAAATTTAAAGATAAAGTGCCTACCCCCTTGTGCTCAAATGTCGTATATATGTATAATTGTTCCAGCTGTAATGCTGGATATATCGGGAGTTCCATTCGGAACTTTAAGATTAGGATACTTGAGCACCGGGGATTATCTTTTAGGACTGGATTACCATTGTCTAAACCAGCATTTTCGGAGATTACAAACCATTGTTATGAGTTTGATCATTCTCTGCTGGAATCTGATTTTAAAATTCTGGACACTTGTATGAATGGCCAGTCAGATTTGAGAGTAATGGAATCCTTATATATAAAGGAGCTGCGGCCTGTTAAATAGCAACCTTTCAGCTGTTCAATTGTACACTGTATAGTGCACAGTAGGCCCTGTAACTTGATTTATAGTTCATTTTGGTAGTTTAATTTTATTATAATTTGTTTAGTTTACCATGTCTTTGCCCTTTCTTACTTAT